TAACAGTTAGTAACAATGTAATTGCCTAAGCCTCTGGCTACACTATTGTCAAGTTTGTTCTTTCGACTCAACTGTTGTTTATTCTTTCTGGTTACAAGCAGAGGGATGATCGTGATATTATTGTACTCAATCTTGCTGAAACCTGCTGATTATAAAATAGTACTATTGTTCTTGTTAGCCAGTATTCAGTGTTACAACAGGCAAAACCACGAATAATCTAGCTAAGTCAAAGTGTGTATTTAATTATTCATCACTTATACGGCAGTATGTTTTGATTAGTGTTGACATCATATCATACACAAGTTCATAAAGCTGCTTAATTATTATACAGAACCACTCAAAGAAAATAGATGCATATCCAGGACACACATGTTCTGCGTCCAAATTAAGCAATCAGGAAACTGAGTTTTTTATTATTGATACTATTAGAATATGAATTGGGATCGTACCGGTGATAGGCAGGCCCCTGTGAGAAATAGTGTGCTGATGATGAGTTATTTAAAAATTATTGTTTAAATTGTTACCACTAGCGATAGTATCACAAATTGAATAATAAGAAATAGCTAACAAACAATATACTTTATTGACAATGGCCTGTATGGACATTGATTATCAATTAGTAACTCTGAACAGCACACTAACAAGTATTCTGCAAGTTAATTGTTCATGACAGGGTTCCCATATTGTTCATCTATGACTAAGAATACAAGCCATTCAGTCTTCGAATGCAAATCTATTATACTATGAGCCATTCGTGATAAGGTTAAATTATGCACATTATTGCTAATACTTTTTAGTTTATTAGTTTTTCACATTCATTGTAATTTCACCTTTGTATTTTTTGAATATAAATATTACTAAAATTATTAATATGAGACTTAATAAATATTTGTATTTAATACATCATTAATAATACTAGTATTAGTAATATTTAATTACTAATTTAATTAGTGTATTAGTATTATTAGTTCTGTTGTTACAAATTATATTGAAATATCAGTATCATAAGTACTAGTATTTAAATAAATTTAAATATAATAATAATTTATGTAACATTAGTATTAGGATTTTATTAGTATTAGTATTAAACAAATTAGTATTAGCATTAATATTAGTATTAGTAGTTATTATTAGTAGTATTATTATATTAGTATTAGTATTATTAGTATTATATTAGTATTCGTATTATTAATATTAATATTAATATTAATTATAATTAAATGAATATTAATTAGTTATTATTAGTATTATTAGTATTAATTAATATTAATAATATTAGAATTTAATAATAAAGGTTCGAAGGAGGGGAGGTGTTCGGCGAGGGTTCGGCGAACGCCGGCGGGGTTCGACGAACTTCGGGCGAAGGGTCGGGTCTTGCCTTTCCAAAGTGTTGCCCCCTTCTGTGTTGCCCTGAGTAGATTATGGGTTATAGTGATGGGCCCCGTCAGAAAAAAAAAAAAACAGCTGTATGGGATCCTCATCCTCGTGAAAGTCGCTGCAGGGAGTCTAGTTGAACATGTGAGATCCTCTTAGTTGCTCCTAGTCCCGCGGAATGTCGCAACCGTGGGGAAGGATTGTGCTGAGCTGCCACAACCGAGACCTCATAAGGAGTATAAGCCGCCTCTTCTTGTCTGGGATCTCGGTTATGCATGCCTGCCATTGTGAAACCGAATCCCCTCATTTGATAAAAAGGCTACCCTTTCATCCTTGCTGACTCATATTGGGACATGGTCAGTTAATGCATTACGTCTTCAAAGTAGGTCGCTGAAGCACAGCGAGCCCAGCACCATGGTAGTTGCTGCTGATGATGTCTGCCGGACGCAGAATAGGATTCCTGCATCCAGACGAGTCTCGGCTTCCGGGTATGAAGATGAAGGATGACGTGAAAGCAAGACTTGAATGTCGAAGCCATAAGATTGACGGCCAAACTGAAGTCTATAAGCCCTATAAGCCCTAAGCCCCTACATGCACCCTAAGCCCTGGACACTGGTCCTTGGACAAACAACTAGTGCCTCACCTGCTCGAACATAGACCTGGTGGTAGCCATGACCAAACAACGCACGATCCCTGTACCTGGGCTTTGAGAGCTTCCTATCTGCAACCAGAAACCGGAAGGATGCCATTGAGTCTGATAGTTTCAATGAAGCAGCTGACATCATTATGGCTCCCAGACTCGAACGGAGTATGATGTATACGAGCATATTAATACATGTACACATGCAAGCATACTTAGACAAGAATAAGCAAGCTATGTCTTTGCATGGAGCCACATGAAAGTGTGTTTCCTCGATATATCTGGTTTCGGCTGGAATCCTATTAGCGTGTTTTGAACCGTACGGATCGTGGTCTTGCAGTGCAGTTTGCAGCCAAATGCAGCCCACATCTCACTTCACTCAGGAGTACCAAATGACGAACTCTGCAATGAGCTGTAAGATGGAACCACAGGCCAAAGCCCGGAAAGGGTCTTGCAACTCGCAGCCAATCGCAGGCCACTCACCCTTCACTTGGGGGGGGGGGTTACGGACTAACCAAAACTACACCGAATTGTAGCAAGAAGGAAGCACCGAAGCCTAGGGTCATTGACGAAAGTATCGGCCTGCACTGGCTGCATAGGTAGACCAAGCCATCTGCCGCTGATGAGTCGCATTCTGACAATCAGGCAAGGTTGAGGGTTCAGGGTTTGGCAAGAATACAATAGATTTAATGCTTATGAGCCGCTCTTGTGAAGACATACAGAGAGAGCGGACATGCGATACCTCATCGGCACACACATTTCCGACCTCTGTAGATGGACAACAGAAATCGACATGCACGCTTGGGGGGGGGGGGGGGGGGGGGCGGGGCGGCACAAACGACCACCCGTGGGTTTGCTGTAGCCATACCGTATCTTCTTTTCGGCATGCTGGACGACCCGTGGTAAGATTCAGCCAAAATAACATGTTTTTCAGATTAGAAGATTATAGAATGCATGGAAAGTACGTACATGTATTGCTTTCCTGGCACGCTTCTCCTCCTCCCTCTTCCTGACACTGAGCATCGCCACTATGGACAACAGTCTGTGGACATTCCAGCTGCCAGGGCATCAAGCAGTCTACCAACAACCTAGCCCAAATACTACCCCTTCTCCAGCGCACCAGCAAGGACGTAGTGTGTAAAATTTGTTAGCGTCGCGACAGTTGAGTGTATAGAAGTAAACGAGAGTTGCTACGATCATCTCCTCATGATGAATTAGCAACTATTGCAAACTTCTCGCTATCGTCGCAAGAAACTCCAGAGCAACAGTAGATGCATGCATTCTACAAAACAGCTAGCAGTAGCGGCTGACGTCTTTCAGCACGTGTAAGGTTAAGCACTGACATAATAGCCGTAGTACCCCGTCAGACAAAGTAAGCACTTTCGGATGCCTCAAGCCAAATTTGCTTCACATGAGTGGTTTCAGAAACATAAATAGGGGATTCGGAGAGCTGAGACGACCACACCCAGCAATGCCCCTTCATGGCGTCGACGACGCTGTTTTCAATATCAGCTCCCGCCCTTTCAGAGACACACGAACACGCAGATAGACAAAAAGGGCCCTGCATGAAACACCCCGCTGCCGAAGCCAAGGCCTGCCGCAGCAGTGGCGACGCCGTGCATAGACATGTTCGCCCAACGGAAGAAATGCTGCGCACTCCTTCGCAACAGCGCAACAGCTTCGCGGACTAGTGGCAGTACGAGCGGGCGGGTTTCAGACCGTCCACAAAAAAGAAAAGAGATACGAAAAGAACCCGCAAAACGTGGTGGGGCATTATAGTCTAGTTGCAATCAGATCATCATTCGACCCCCCCAAAGTCATTCTTGAGGGCTTAGTTTACCAGAGCTAGCAGGTAAGGATCTGCAAGGCCTGCGAAAGGCCGGGAAGGCTGCTGTATATAGTGCCACCAAAATTAAGGGACAAGGATCCCAACAAAAAGTACTTGGAGGATCATGGGACTCAGTAAGTAAGGTTATAAGTACCCTAAGTGGGGTTATAAGTAATAATACCTATAGTTACCCTATTTATAACCCGAGTTACTAAGTCCCATGATCCTCCAAGTATGCTTTTGGCAAAGGTGAAGCACGAGACTCAAGAGCTGTGCTCAGTCTACCAGGCGAAGCCGAAAGATCTCCTGGGTCCGTTGAAGCAGGTCGGGCCCCTGTAGGCCCCTTTACAGTATGGCTATAAGAAGGAGCCCTAAGGAATAAACTATTCGTATGTATTCCAGCCTCTGTTATGTTAATGGTACTTCGCTCATAGATTTAAAAGCCCCCGCAGTGAGGGCATTTCTATGAGCTCAGAAAGGGTGGAAGGTTTCCACACTCGGCTACGAAGTTTGGTGGGTGAAGGCTTTAACCAACTGCAGCGCTGTAAGTCTGAACTACATAAGTCGCTAGCTTCCTGTTTCAGATCGCACCTTTCTATGGCTTGTCCCGGCCTTCGACACCAAAAGCCTAAGCCGAATATATCAGAAATCCCTACTGTGAGCCTCACGACAATTCGATTTAAACTCGTAGCCTCGGCACGACGCACTCGGGCCTCACAGTGTAGTCCCTGAGCCCTACAGCCTGAAGACCTTGGGATTCAACAGCGGAGCAGCCTGAGGCTCGCCAGGAGTCATTAGCAGTCTGACTGTGCGGCATCGACGGGCCCCGGCACAACCGGATCCAAACCTCGAAATCCCAAATGAAACGCTGTGAAACACGAAACAAGCACCATCATGAGCATCCACAGCTCAGCAGGTCAAGTCTTTTTACAAGACCGCTGAGTCAAGACGCCCCGAAGCAATGAGCTTTGTTGACGAATGCGCCGACGATTGTGGAAAGCATGGTGGCGTGCCAAGAGGGCTAGGGCCAGATGTACCCTAAACCCAATAGCCCTTTAACCTCCAAACCCCCAAACTCTAAATCCCTATTCCCAAAAGGGTGTGGGCCCATGGTCTTCACACGCCGGTGCCCGCCTGCGACTCGAAGGCGGAATGCATTCACTCTGTGTCGGGCATTCTCTGCATGGGACGGCCCAGGATTTGCCCGGGACTGTAGGTGGATTGTCGTGGTGTGCTGAATTCGCCGTCATCATCTACGAAGCACTGGAACAACACTAGTGACAGGGCATTTGCCACCAGCATGCCGAAGTAGATTCCGAGCTCGGTGGTGAGAGTGCTTCCACAAGCTGTTTCACCCAATGTGCCTGCAAGAATGCCAAATAGGATGGTCTCAATGTATCGGAGCGCCAGGACAATTTCCATCCTGCTTGCTCGATACGCCTTCTTGTCCTGCAGCAATACATAGACCGGAACGATATATGGGAGAAAGAATACAGCCTCTGCCCGGTGGACACCCACGTCAGACCGACAGATGCAGATGTTGCATAAGAGGAAGAAGGTGATGCTCGTTGGCAAGCCGTAGGCCCTGACGGGCTCGGAAAGCACCATCGCAAAGCCAATGCTGCGGACTGCTGCATCAGTGGCAATGAAGAGCATCGCAAGCACCTTGCCCGGCCAGAGCGAAGCCAGCCTTTTGTTGGGGAGAACAGTCGGTGCAGCCATCACCGCTGAACTTGCAAGAGACAAGACTGAGCTGCAAACGGACATCACCTTGAAGGTCTGTCCATAGGCGCCAAGTGCAAACAGGACGTAGGACTGCAGGTACAGCTGAGGGGCGCTTTCAAAAACCACTGTCAATAAATTTCTTATCGCGCCTGACCCCCCGTAGTTCCTTACGTGAGCAGGTTCCATATCACCTATTGGAATTTCGGTATCACCTTTACGGAGCACCTGCACCAGATCCCAAACTTGGGAGAGCTGAGCGACTCCGAGGCAGTAGAAAAACAACCGGTTGCGATTCCGATTCTTTATCCCTTCCTGCGTTGCTAACATCCCCGCTTTTCTCATTGCCCAACAACAAGGCGGCACGAGTGTGGACAGGACCACCAATGTCAGGGCAATCCCGAACCAGGCCCAGTGGGGTTTACACTCGGGGAGCTCGAGGTCCAAGGTGACGTTCGCGGCGGCAGTGCTGTTCGCTTCCGGCATGGGGCAATCCGGCGTCAAGGAGTTGTCGAGGAAGCATCCGTACTGCAGCATCACCTGGGCTGTCATTTTCCAAACGAGAAGACCTCCGACTCTAAGGAGAAACTTCACCAAACAAAACCGAAGCGAACACCCTAATTCCGAAAGCCTAAAGTTCAACCCGAAACCCTGAAGTTCAATAAGCTCGGGTGGGCCACGATGAAGTCCGTGACGAAGTCGAAAATTCCAAGGCCAGCGAAGAAAGCCATCGAGCCGACCTTGCCCCAGAAACCCCAATCCATGGCTTCGCCAAGAAACGGATCAAGGCCAGAGCTCTTTGGCCCCAGGAGACACGGGGGAACCCAAACAGGCTCTCCCGGATGACTCGTGCCAAAAACGGCTAGACGATATCACTTTGTATGAACAACGCAGGCCGCGCTGCACCTGCAAAACAGACAGAGAAATGCAGTGCTGGTCATTGTCGGTTTTTCGTCCGATGCAAATGTTGACCCGGTCCTGTCCGTGAGCAAGGAACCGACCGTCACCTTCGCGTTGAGACTCTCGCCGAGCTCCCGGAGCACCTTCAGCGAAGGGTAGCAGGGTTTGGGGGGGCTGAAGGAAACCGTCGCCATGATTGTTCCGGGGCCGGGGTGGGTGGGTTTTTTTTGGAAGAAGCACTCGAGAGTTCGGAGTCCACTTCTCTCTGGGGTGCAAGTTCAACCTTGAGATTTAAGGGGCTGGGCTCAAGAAGCCAGATTCCTCGATGTCTGAACCCAAAACCACCAAACGTTACATTTATGGGACCGTAGGCAAACCCCACGCAGCCAGCGGCTGAGGGGTGTGCATCGGACACCTGGCGGTTGACCACCTGGGCCCAGATGTAGGCCAGTTGCACAAATGTCCGGTACATGGTTTACCGGGACAGTGACCTACCAGTAGGCAACAGGTTTCCGCCAGTAGGGTGACCTACCAGTAGGCTGCAGGATTTTTGCCAGTAGCCGATGTTCTATGGTTCCAATATTGAATGGTACAAAGATGTTGAAGAAGTCACCGCATTGCCAAGATCATCAAAGCCTCAGCACCATCGTAATATCACCATGACCATGATGTCATCGGTATTGCAGTCGACGATGGCGCCAGAAGTCGATGCCAACGACTTCGACGATGATAATCTTCATATGCTGCAGTTGGTACTGTTTTTTGTGGCTCTTGTGATCCTCGTCGTGCCCTAGCCCTAAGGCTCGAAATGGCCCAAAAGCCTTGAATATTGGTCTTTAGGCCCAAAAGCCTTAAAATATGAGTCCTTAGAGCCTTAGGGTAGGATTCCATAGAATGCTCACAGCATCGAACACGCAGCAACGGCCCGGTCCAATCGTCAGCCCTCGACCTTATACCTAGAGGGTCATACCCTACCCCTTTTTTAGGATACCAAATTCTATGGTTAGGATCTGTTAATCGCTTCCCCTTAACATTAAACCCCCCCTAGTATAAAAACTCCCGGCCCCCGGAATTTCGCGGTTTCGGGCCCCACATTCAATTTAAAAGGGACAACACTAGGGGGGGGGCCTAGATCTGTATATGTTTTAGTACTAAAGACAGCAGAGCTTCAGGGTTTAAGGGGTTCTCAGGGCTAAAGCTTTAGGGCTTGGGGCTTTGGGGCTAAAGTTTAAGGCTCAGGGCTTTAGGGTTTGGGGCTCGAGGTTTAGGGCTTAGGGCTTAGGGCTTTAGTAGGGCCTCAGGGCTCCAGACTTAGGATAGCTAGCAGCTGGGAGTCCGGGTATGTGGATGCACCGAACCCCCCCCTAATATAAAGACTAAACCTCCGAAATCTAGTTTTTATATTAGGGAGAGGGGGGCCTTTAATATTAGAGGGAACGGAATACATAGAAAAGTAATTAAGTAATTTAAAAAAAGGGGTTGGGTATGAGGCTCTAGTGCCCAGTAGACCTAACCCCGCCCAGCGCCAAAGACCTGATGCCCTGTCTTCTAAACACAGTAAACCCAAAAAAACGACAAACGCCGCGCAGCCCCAAGGACACGAATACGGTAATCGCACCGTGCACCCCCACCAAGTTTCCCTAGGGATCTAAGGACTCATATATTAAGGGTTTTGGGCCCAAAGACCATACTCATACTCTATCAGGCTTTTGGGCCATGTTGATCCCTAGGGTTGCATCTGCTCAAAAAAAAAGCAAGCCAGGGCGGCGCCAAGGCTGAGAACGTCCAGAACGCTGCCGAATGTAAAGGCGATGGTCTGCGGAATGGCCGTTGCTAGGCGGGGCCTAAAACAGTGACCCTGACGCTTAGGACCGGGTTGTTTTTTCGGGGACTTTCATACTATCACTGATGAAGACAAGGATCTTATGGTTCCCAGACTTTGTAGGTGCTGGGTTCAGTGGATGATCTCTAGAGTTTCAGGTTTAAGGTGTAAAAATAACAGCGTGCAGCAAATTGTATCTCAGAGTACTCTGTACACCGGGCTTTCTACGTACCGTCTGACGATATCATGAGGATGGTTGTCAAAATTAGGGTCTCTTTTTGGGCACACTAAATTTTAGGTGGCGTATTATAATTATAATAAGGACCCCACAAAGGGACCTAAATTTGACAACCATGTATCAGAGATGCGCAGGCAAAGGCACTGGAAAGTAATCAAGAACGAGCAACCATGCAAGCAGCAAAGATAGCAAGGCACAGCTGCTGCCTAAACCCTGAAGCCTGTAAAGCTCCAACCCCCAAAACCCTACAGCTCCAAAATCACAAGGCCTGGCTTTCAGAAGAAGAAAACAATGCAAGCTAAGCAGTTGGTGCAGTGAGGGTTTGCTCATGCCGGACCTAATATACGGGCCGTATACGATCATGGGAATGATCTTGGCAACTAGTTAGCCTTCCAGTTCTTGAGCCCTACCTATAGTCTCCATTGTAGTTCCTTTTTTGGGTTAACCAGTATTATGGTTAAGATCCTATAAATAGTTTCTGGTTAACCAGAAAAAGGAACTACAATGGAGACTATAGGTAGACCAACATCTGCTGGACCCTTGTCAGGCTGCCTCTGACTGAGGCTTGATTCAGGCTTGAAGCTCAAAGGTTCAGGTTAGGGCTTGGGGGTTGGGGACGGAATCCGGAACTATGGCCTTGTGGCGTAAGGCTTTAGTGTTTATGTTAGGCTTCTTGACAGACGGTTATGTCGGCCTGGCGGATCACCTCCGGGGGCAGCTGTGCCACCTTGGCATCCAGAACGGGTCCATCTCTGGTGGTTTGACACCGAACACCAGTCTAATTGACTTTGTCTCTGCATCGCGGATTTTGCCAGATGTGGTTGGAGGCGTTTCTGACTTAGGAATTCAGCATTTGGGCTAAGCCCTTGAAGTTGGAGTTTTACTTGCTCATGGAAAAACGGTTTGTGCTTCGGGCTCGGAAGAAACGATTAACAAATGCAGCTTTCAATGAGGGTCGCGACATGTTCGATGAGAATGTAAGTAACATCCATAAACTCCTGCTTCTGGGGGCTCTAGAAAGGTACGATGCACCGGCATCAAAGCGATGCCTCATACCTAGACTCGGGTTTTTGGGGGAATATCGCTAGGATTGGGGAACCCCCCGTAAGAGTACTAGCATCCAGGCCTGGCATATGTACTGATGGGGAAAGAAAACTCTAGCCCTAAACCCTAAACCCTCAACTGAAGAACAAAAACTTGAATATAGTGCATCGGGTTCCAATTCAGTCGATTTGGTGCCTCTATGCTAGGAATGCTCAGGCCTTCGCGAACCCACCAACACCGAGCCAAGCAAGGTCTGGGGATTCGGTTTGAGGGCTTTTTGGGGTTTACCTGTACCTTAACCCGGAATGCCCTACCCTTTTTAAGGACTTAGAAACTGAAATCATAATAAGCAGCCCTAAAAAGGTAGGCTATTCAGGGTTAGGGTAGGGGTTAGGGTTCAGGACTTTGGTGGTTTTGGACTTGGAGGTTTCGGGGTCGAGGTATTCAGGGTTTGCGGCGCAGGCTGTCATGGTTTTTTTTTAAAGTCATGGTTTAGGGGTTAAGGCTTAAGGGTTTACGGGTTTAGGATTTTATCAAACCCGACTCTATTGGTAGATGCCTTCGTCATGAGCTCCCGGCGTTCATCGGAGACAGGGATGCCGCCCAGATCCGCAACCAGCTCTAAATTGAGTCCCTCAGCTGTCCGAAGCCTGAAAGCTCGTCTCCAAACTTCATTCGGGGTGGCTAAGGCATGCTCCATGCCAGGTCCAAATTACAACTCAAAGACCTTGCCGTGCACCTTAACATCGCCCTGAATAGAGCCCTCCTGAGGTAGCAATAGCGGCATCCATGGAACAAACCAAAAACACCATGATCACGAACACGATGCTCCTTTAACAACCCTAACTCCGAAACTGCACAAGAAGGATATCTAAAAGGGATGCGCGACTAAATCCCTTTGTGAGCCGGTGCATGGAGGGTGCGGTCGGCGGGTCAGCAGATGTTCTGGTACAGCTTTCGTACGAAGATCGAAGGTAAGTTTTAGGGCTTAGGTTTATAGTTTATAGAGTTTAGAGTTTATGGCCCAAGCTTAGGAGTATAAGTTGAAAGCTAGGGCTGCAGGTTTTTTGGGGGTTAGGTCCCGGGAGTTTAGGGGTAAGCTCTGAACGTCCAGAGCTGTAGGGCTGTTTGCAGGGCGAGGCTGAATGACGACAGGAGTATGCAAAGCTAGCACTTACAACACAATGAAGGATCTTAGATACTTCGAAGGCTTTCACACAAGAACTCTTAACGATGCTGGGCTGCTAGGGTTCTTTGGAGCAGGGCTCACGATTCCACTATAGACGGCACCCACAAACCTCTCTGGACAGAGTCCACACATCCTTTAGTGGAATTGCACCGCAACTCTAAACATGAATCCCAGCACCTGCATCCCAAGTTCCGTCTAGTTGGTCACGGTATCCTCTCATTCTCCCTCAATGATAGACACCAAAGGCCTTCTCATAAACATCACAGCCCATATAGCAGACCCGGAACTGAACCCAACAGCCGGGCGTGGGCGGCGGCTATTCACCTGACGGCGCACCATCGGCGTGTCATCGCCACAGAGTCTGAGCTTCCAGGTTGCAGGGATTAAGGTGCGGGCCTTAGTACAAAGAATGGGGTGTCGGAGTTTCGGGCTATGCTAAAGGATCATGTCATGAGGAACCTTGAGGACTAGCTTGGTGCAAGTAATCAGCCTAGCTTCTAGTTGAGGGTGTAGGGCTTACTTGGAGGATCATGGGACTTAGTAAGTAGGGTTATAAGTAGGTTATAATTAGGATAACCCCACTTAGGGGACTTATAACCCCAGATATAACCTACTTACTAAGTCCCATGATCCTCTAAGTAGGGTTTCGACTCCCGAATTGACGGGTTGGTGTCAGGGCGGCAGACTCAAGGGATAGAACTCAACATTCCGGGTCGAAATAGTGTTTGCTCGCAGGCTTCCCTGCAGCCTCAACCCTAAACCGCTTCAGGGCTTGAAGCGTTGAGGACTGAAGGTTCACACTCTGAAGCCTCAGAGCTGATAATGTCAAAAAGTCTTAGGCTTGAAGGATTCACTTGAGTTTCTCCGCTCAATCAGGGTTTTAGGGCTATGGCTGTCTACCCTATATAGAAGCTGAAAAATGCCCGGAGACCTGCAAATTCGTGCCTGAGCAAGCGACCTTCAGACACACCCGTATGCCAGACTGTAACTACAACAGGGGCCTTGAGTCTCCTGCTTCTGGCACTCGCCCAAGCGTTCATAGCTTCGCCAAAGAAGCTGGTGAGCTATGCACGGGTAATGAACTCCTATAAGAACTAAGGGTTCATCATCTCTTGGATCATGTACGGGTGAAAGGACCACGAAAAGGCTGCAGGTTATTACCTACTCTACCACGACAGTAGGTAGGCAGTCCGCTACCCGCTTTAGACTCCGAATCCTGAATTTCAAGCCCTCCAAAAATCCTGAACCCCCATGTACATCAAAAATCCCACGCCCTAAACCGTGCATATATAAACCCTACAAGCCCTAAACCCTACATACACCCTAAACCCCAAAGCCAAAAACCCTTTGAGTTTCCCCGCGTGTAGAACTTCTTTAGAAGCTCGGCGCGCTTCCCCTCGCCAACCTCGCAGAAGGCAGGGCGCCAGCTTCCTAAGCGAATGGGGGCCTCAGCTCCGACAGTACGTTAATCTTTGATCCCAAACCCTCAGTCAACCCCAAACCTCCATACAATCTAAGCCACCAGCCCCGAAACCCGCGTACTCAGCCCTCCTTTACGGGCCAAAAAATGTCAGAATAATTAAGGTTTTCGGCACTACTACGTATAAAGTTTCGCTCCTGAAACCCCCGTGGCCCTAAGCCTCCCATCCGAGAGCCTTGGACAGCGCGACCGCAAAGAGGCTGCAAGAGGAGATTCGCGAGGTGAACCTCACTGGATATCCGGATTTATATAATTTAGGGCATAATTACATGCTGTAAGTTGTAAGGGCCTGGCCGCTTTCAGGTTTTTAGCAAAAATAATGACTCACGTACTCTTTGGAGGCTCCTGGTTTCCACTATCACCATAATGGGCTAGTGCGAGGCTACCATTACCTTGCACATACGTGGCTCGGCTGGGTCTTGATTTTCCGGCCTTTCTGGTTTAGGATCCATGGCCATAACCTGTCTTTGCTTGCTACCACTTCTCCACAAGCTTTTAACATCGTTCATAGTTCTCTGCAGTATTGCCATAGCTTTATAACCATATCAGCTTGGATGGTGTTGGTATTTTCCAGACTTGCTGCTATCGCATCTATGCTCATGAGGAGTATATGGGTCTTGCAATCACTTTCCCCATTATCAGCACCCTAGATCCTGAACCCCCATAGGACCAGGACTCTGCTCGCTCATGGCCATACATGCCTCTCGTGTGGTGCCTCCAGGGCTCAAACTCCCCGTTTCCCGAAAGCCGATGCTCGAGTCGCTAACGAGCCATTCCCCAAACGCCGAAGCCTCATAAATAGTTCACAAGACCCCTAAACCCTAAACCCTAGGCCAAACCCTAAAACCTAAACCCTAGGCCCCAAAGCCTCATAAGGTCATAAGACCTCTAGCCAAAACTGCTGGGCCCAGGGTCTCGGGCTGGGTGCACACCACCTCTCAAGTGTGTACAAACACTTCAACAATACCTATAGTCTCCATTGTCGTTCCATTTTTGGTTAAACAAGTTTTATGGTTAGGATCCTATAATAGAGATTTGGTTAACCACAAAAGGAACTACTATGGAGACTATAGGTGATCGCGAAGCTTTGATCCGAGAGTCTAAGCTCGAAACATCTATGCCCGAACTCTCAAAGAAGCTTCTGCGCTTAGGGCTCAGGGTCAGTAGCATGTTAAACCCTAAACCCCAAGGTTTCTGTGCCGGGCAGCCAGTCGTGAGACGAAAGCCTGGAAATCAGCGCACACAAGTGCTGGAGAACCTGCGGGGCTCTCGAGGTCTTCGATTGATTTCAACGGGTGAGCATTTAGGGTTTGGGGTTTAGGGATCTAGGTCTAGGGGATTAGGGTTTAGGGGTTTGGGAATTTAGGGGTTTAGGGTTTATAGGGTTTAGGGTTTAGGGCTCTTCGATTGGTTTCAACTGGTGAGCATGTATGGAGGCGGCGCTCAGGTCTAGACCATAACATACTCAGGCCTTACTTAGTAGAAAGAACGAATAGGGACATACTACAATTAGTAACTGTGTAAGGGTTTGGGCTGTAGTGAGTAGTGCATATCCGCCATTAACATAACACCTTCAAGCTTTTCCATTAAAAGTCCTCGATACATTGGGATCCCTCTCATAACTTATAGCCTTCCTTATGGGAGACAAAGAGGCTTAGAAATTGTGATCTCGGGCTTTCGCTTTCGTGGATCCTCCTCTAGGAACCCTGAGAACCCCAAACCTACAGTTTTGAGCTTACGGTACATGGGGCCGGATACCCAGACCTTCCAAGATCCCTTAATTAAGGAATATACCTTAATTCAATTTAAGGTATATTCCCTAATGGGATTTTGGAATGTCTGGATAATCGGGCTCCGGGCCGGCCGCTGTAAAAAAACCTTGGAGGCCACGGCAGAATGCGCCGTAATTGATCAGGTCACGTCACCGGGAACTGAAGCCCTCGGATGTGCTCCAGCCCTTCTGAAATCCTGCGAAAACCACAGATATTACAACCACAGCAACAGACTATAGCCCTGTCGGGTCATCAACTCTCGTCCCTCCTCTCCGGAGTTGAACCTAACCTAAATTCAACACAAATCCGAATCAGGCCCTGCACTTGTTGCCGCCCTGTTCACAGCGGCGTCACGTATGAACGGCTACTGGAGAGCTTAAGAGTTATCGGTGGGCTTGGTCATTGGTCAGGCTCTGAAGATGCCGACTGCTTCAATTTATAGCTGCATACACCAAACAGTAGTGTCACGAGTAGTATCCCGAGCCATACATCCATACACATGCTTTGTTGGTATATGGTACAAACATGTGCATTGAACAGAGCTTTGAAAAACAGACCTGATGCGCGCAACCGACGAATCTGCTCCATGCTGGCTTCACATTGTAGCCACCAAATTCCGAGCAGAAAAGAACCTCCATCAATCACAGTCACAGTCGACTATCAGACAACCTTGGTATCGAAACCCTTATAGAACCCAAACACTGCTTATCGACACCATTACTTAGAGGATCATGGGACTTAGTAAGTAGGTTATAACTGGGGTTATAAGTCCCCTAAGTGGGGTTATCCTAATTATAACCTACTTATAACCCTACTTACTAAGTCCCATGATCCTTTAAGTACCTGTACTTTATCAGACTTTGAGCTCCTCCTCTTAATCTCTCCAAGTGAGACACGTAAAGGTCTGGTTGGCCTTTGCCCTGTGCAGCGGCCAAGACCAAGTTCTGTTCATCTTGAGTTGCACGTTTCCCCTAAAGTTCTCCGGACAACCTGGATTCCGAAGCCTTGTGAAACACTACTAACACTACTAAACCCCGACTAAACACTGGGCTTTGGGCATACTGAACCGTGGGCGTAGCACCCCTTTAGAGAATCCTTCAGGCAGTAGAGTGTAAAGTGCAGGGTTTCGGTGGGTATGTCAAGA